TTTATTTTTTAATATTTTAAATAATATAAAATAAACTATGACATTAATTTTATATTTTGATAATAAATTTTAATCTGTTTATCATTATTTAAGGAAATGAAAAAAAATTGTTGTTTCTGGTGGGCCTGTGGGGCTGGGTCAGGGCGGACATGCTTATTAGGCCATACCCATGACTTAGTGTTATTGGATTTGGGCCTTTCATTTTTTTCGTGTGGGTAAGGACGAAGGAGTAAGTACTAACCAGTATCATGAAACTATTATAGACTGATGGGCCCAGAATTTTGTCATTTATGTACGGTGAGTTTATCGGAGATCATATTCTGATATTCACCATCGAGGATTAGGCAAGTGATAATGCCACTCTCCGTTGCACTTTCTTTTTTTAAGACTTTACACGTTTTATGAGCACTGTCTAATTATTGGCACACGTAAAAAGAGATGTTAAATTAAAATTGCTATTAGTTTTATAGTAATTTTTTTTTAGTAAAAATAAAAATTTTTGAACTCATATCATATAATATGAGAGTTAAAAAAATTTTAAAAATTAAAAGATTTCTTTTTATTTTATAATTTAAAATAAAAAAAAATTTAAAGCTGCACTCTATTTTTTTTTTGTTTTCCGTCTGGTATCCGGGGCGCGAGGACTGCTGCATACACAAAATCTCAAACTCGAGACCTTATTTAAACTGAAACAAGCAGCTTATCACTTAATTCAACCCCTTCGTTGGTAGCTGCACTCTATTGGACTTCTTGTATTTTAAATACAGACATCTTGATATTTTCACTTCCTTAAATTTTATAACAAGTATACATGTTATTATCCGACGAGTCACCTTTCTTGCACATAATAGCTCGAAGTATATTGGAACGGTTAAAAACACTTTTCTATGCATTATGTGATTGATAATATAATAACTTCTCTTTCTATAATTTTTCAAAACTTTATATATATATATATAGGGTGATTATAATGTATTTAAATTGACTTTTGTATATTTTAAAATTAATTTTTTATGAGCAATTGTAAAAATATATTCCTTCACTTGATCCGGTATATTAAAAATAGGTTATATCTCCGATTCAGTCCCTAAACTTTCATTTTTGGACTAAAAATACCCTC